TTTCTATATGAATCAACTGTCTCATCCTTGAGCAGTGATGTAGAGTTTTAGAGGGACATAATTGTACTTTTACATTGCCGTTATTTAGATTTTTACAAAACCATATATTTCTCACGAGTGTTTTTCAAATGCTGCCGTCAATTTTTGGATTGATTTTGTACCTTCCAGACAGACGCTTGCGTTCATTAATTTCGTTTTATTTTAAAATCAATTTGAAAAGGCTTAAAACTTGCTAGACACCGGTCATCCATCACGGTGAACATTTATCCACTTTTATTTATTGTCAAAGTTAACACAATCAGTAGAATGGCTGCTTCAGCATCTTAGATTTTAAACCTGCCTGCCAGAAATCATTTCAGTCAGGAGCTACACTGTCAGAAAAATGAAGACAGACGACATAAGCTAGTCTGGATCATTTTCTCAGTTCTTTGAAAGCACCAACGGCAAAGAGCTTTGGAAATATTCCCCAAATCTCCTGAAATAAAAACCTAACTTTTACAAAAAGTTAGGCTCCAAGACGTTGCAGGAGGATTATAACAGAATTCTGAAACTTAATTAAAACCAAGAAATTCCTGGAAAGCAAGAGTCAGTGACAATTTCTTAAAACTTCTTAAAGTGGTGAGCTCGGCTCAAATCAGCGAGTGTGTAGGTGTGCTCGCTGTCTGGAGGACATTTCACCAGTACACTCTGCCTGGAGCTAGTGATGATTTGCTCACAGGCATCTGTTAAACTACTTGACTCCTCTGCCACCACATTAAGCAGGAACAAGGCTGAGCGCTGTTTGTGTCACCTTCTCAGTCATTAACGACATAAATTCACAATTAAAACACTGAGCCAAAGCTGGAAGATGCAGCTCGGATTCCCACCCAGATCACAGAACACACTAAAGTGTCACACCCCTGATGAAACGTGTAAATTTGAAAACCAGTACACTGCAAACAAAGGTTCCTGTGTTTGTATGGATCCAGCTTGGGAAGCAGAGCTGCCGGGACTTAGGAGCCACTGTAAATTTGCAGTGTTTAGACTCTAAACCTGTCCTGGTTTATACTGTTGCTTCACATTTTTTGCCTTTTCGTCCTCTAATTGGCTCTCGGGAGGGGGGAAGCCATTTTGAAAGATTTTTAATTACATCATAAAAGAACTTGCTGCCACGGCAAAGTTCGCCGTGTGGGCTCGTTGAAATATGAATGCTGTTGCTGTGTTTCCCTCCCCGACAAAACACCCACAGTTCAGTGTGTTGCTCTGATTAGTTTCTGCATTGTGCTTTTGATGATGCTAAAAGTAGGCTAATGTTCCATGATGCTCAAGATGATGTGTCAGACGCCTTTCCCTCCTGATCTGATGAGAATTAAAAAAAATAGAGAGTTGACAGAATGGTTGGAAGCTTCAACCCAAAGCTGCCATAAAACATCCAGACTGGTTTCCTATAATGGACACGTATGGTGAAAACAAATGAACCGCACATAAAAGTGTAATTGTCGCTCTGTATCTTTCAAATAAGGGACAACATACATTGAACTTGTAATTAAGCCAAAAACATCATCAATTATGGTCCTAATGGGAAGTCTCATTATACATTAATCCAGTTATCATGCAGCTAACTATTGAAGACATTAATCATTTGGACATTACTGTAACCATCTCATAATAAAACCATTAAAATGGTTTTATTATGAGATAATGTGATTTACAAGCGCCAACCAGCAGCTCTGACAATCTGTAACCATAGCAACACAATCTGATAAATCTACTTAGCCTACAACAATTAATCAAGCATTTCAGTAAATAAATGTTGTAAAACTCATCTGTCTGCAGCAGGAAGGAAGACGCCATATTGAATATTTGGGGCAAAAGAAAAGAAACTTTGGGGTGAGCAGTGATGAGATGCTTTGAGCAGAGTTAAACTAAACAAAGTGAATTATGATTTTCATGAAAATGAAAATACTGTTTTTATTTAAAAACATTGTTTATTCATCTGTTGTTTTTTTATTCATCATTTCATCTATTAAGTGCGAAAGGCATGGTGGAACAGTGGTTAATGTAAAGCAAGAAGGTTCCGGGTTTGAGCCCGGGACAACTGTGTGGAGTCTGCATGTTCTCCCTGTGCCTGCATGGGTTCTCTCCAGGTGCTCCAGCTCCCTCCCACAGTCCAAAGACATGCAGGTTAGGTTGACTGGTGACTCTAAATTGCTCCTAGGAGTGTATGTGTGTGTGTGTGTGTGTGTGTGTGTGTGGTTGTGTGTCCCTAAGTGTCAGCCCTGTGACAGACTGGCGACCTGTCCAGGGTGGACACCGCCTCTCGCCCAATATTAGCTAGGACTGGCTCCAGCCCCCCGCCACCCTATTTGGGAACTAAGGGGTATAGATAAATGATGGACGGTTCTATTAAGTGCATATTTTTTAATAAATGACTTAACCAAGTATCAGAATTGTTGTTGCATCATCCATATTAATTCTTTCAGCACTGTCTTCAAATTAAAAGTTGGGCTAAAACCGAAACAAGGCTGATTTTATAAGCTTACAAATCACTGACATTTTGACAATACAAGGACCAAAACACCCATAAAAACCACGTCTATAAATACAGCAGTGCAGAGTATATTTGGCTGCGGTTCAGTGCTTCTGTAGTATCTGTCTGAGCTCTCTGCCCTCACACGGCTGTGCCTGCCTCCCACCAGCGGTGCTGACAGTGTCCCCAGGCCAGGCACCCAAGCACTTTAATAATCTGCACTCATTTATGAGTCTGTGTCCGAGCTCATAGATCAGTGTCAGCGCGCCGACCTGCGAGAACATCAGGCAGATCAGATGCAGATAATGAAGGCCTGCCCACATCACCGCCTCGGTCAATCAAACACATCGTTAGTTAATCACCAGTGTCTCCCTCATTAAGAAACATAGATACTCTGGGAGATTCGGCCCAGGTCTTCTGTTGCAGTCAGTGTCCTTGTGGGCTGAAGCATGCTGGGATGTGTGGGTTCACATACATCAGGCTCAGTGACGTTTACTCTGTAAAGTTACTCTGCATGATGAGATGAGAAGTGCATATCCAGGGTTACACAGAACAAGGCGGTTGAAGTTCCCATGCAACCTCTAAACACAGGGATTAGACACTTAAAATACATTTTTTACTTTTTAATTAAACATTTTTATTTTAATTTAGGAGTATTCTTCCATAAACAATATTTCACTTATGCAAAATATTTAAATTATTTTTCAGAACTGTACAGGACATCCTGTTAGAAGTTAAACAACCCCCTCCTTCAGCATTTGTAATGCTTCAATGTATTTCTCCCTTTTCCGTTGTATGTGGAAATTTGGGGATATATAGCTGATAAAAAAAAAACACTTACCCAAATAAGCTGCAGTGATTTATTTCTGCCAAAGTTGATGTTGATTTAATTTGCTGATGTGTAAAGTAATGTCTTAACAATGCAACTTCCCTGAGACTAAAGTAAGTGTTTTGTACAGTTTTGGTTCATCTGCAGCATCATAGCACAGATATCAGATAATCGGACCTAGGGATGTCAGTATGTGAAGTATTAGCACCTGTTGAAATGTCTTCAAAATCAAAGCAGAGAACAATACTACATAGTACAAGTATTCAAAAGGAGGTTAGGAAGTAAAGTATAGTTTTAATTTCTCCTGGTGCACCAGTCTCCTTGGCCTTTGCCTTTTTTATAGAATGAGTAACACTGTAATTCTACGGTTAGAACAACATGAAGTGGTGCGTTCACTGAGAGTCATGTCGAGAGGCGTGGAGGGAAACTTCGTCATGGAGTCAGCATTTCGTTGTGGTCACACATCCAGCAGGCAGAAGATGCTCAGGCGGATGAATGAAAACACTGTATTTGTTGCTGAGAGACCATCTGGCACACTTCATCCTAAACTTCTTAACTTTTAATTCAACCAGAGCAGGCTTGCTGAGCCTGCATGTTAGAAACTGGCAGGTGCGTAGCAGTTGTAGAAACTGTTTACTCATTCAGTCCTCCTACCCAGATGTTTTGCACCTAGCCAGGGTCTGCTCTAGCCCATCGTATTGTTGAGGTTTCATGACTTCAGACTGACACACAGCCGCATAATAAAACAAGTCTTTACTGAACTGACTGTCACAATATCTAATGAGGTTGGTTTTGACAACAAATCCCATTTTCTTTATTCTGGAGCCTCCTGAAGCTCATTAAGCCAGTAGTGCCCATTTTACTTTCCTCATTTTCTATCTTTAAGCTTTCAAGTACAGAAAGAGAACCAAAATAATAAGGGTAATCATGAATAAGCATTTTGATGAACCTGAATATTGTGGTTCTGCATTGATGGTGCAGTCATCATCAAAGAAGCTTCACCAGATCTGTTGACAAAGGTTGAGGCTGTGCCTCCCTGATGTCCCATCACAGGTGTTTTGACACTGACTGGAGAAGACCCATACTAATCTACTTATATGTGTGAAAGTACCACAGGGTTTTAGTCAGTAGAAATAATGGAGCTCGTTGAAAGAGCAGTAAAATATCATCAAAGCTACACCTACAGCTGAAAATAATTTCAAAAGGAGTCTAATATGAGGCAATAATTTTTACTCACATTAGATGTTTTTCTTGCCGAGCTTGTCTTTGTTATAGTGTGTTTTAAATTTTGGAGGCGAATGTCTCGTCATTAACGTTTCCTGAACCTAAACTGTGGCAAAATGCACCCGTGTAAGAGTTTCACAAACAAATGTTCCTTGGCAGTGTATCCCAATACTGATGCTGTCAAATGTGAGCATCTACATTATGAACACCACTAATAATAAAACTGGACATAGTTCTATTCTTCTACACTGCATGCCCACACAAGGGGTTGGCTGCATGTTAGAGCGAGACAGTAGTGTCTGCTATGAGAGGTTTGTTTGTCAAGGTGGTACAATAGAAATGTTCCCTCAGATGTCCAGAGTTGTGCAGTGTTACGACACTACTGGTTCGATACTGTTTGACGACAGTGATGAACCTGACCCTGTCCTCCCTCTGTAGGAGCTCTGTCGGCAGCGTATGGCAGTCAAACCTCCAGCTGAGCGTCCGGAGCCGATCTCGTCCAGGATCAACAGTGTGTCGTCTCAGTTCAGCGATGGTGGGCAGGCTGTCAGTCCGTCAGCACGCAGTAGCATCTCCTCCTGGAGCGAGGAGCCTGCCCACTCCAACATGGACATCTCCACTGGCCACATGATACTGGTGAGTTTCATATCAAGTCACCTTGTTGCATCCATCGCACCAACAGTGCCAGTGAGAGTCCTGTGCATGTGTACTGAATTTTAATAGTTAGAGTCAGTGATAAGGACGCGGCCCTGCTAAAGGGCATCAATGTAAATGTGAATGAATTTGTGTGTGTGAGACACTGAAAAGCTGATGGATTTAAAGATCTGAAGAAGGACTGTCTTCCAATTTTGAACAAAACTGTGGGATGACTAATGGTTTTAAATGATGTCATGTCATTTTATGGCATGAATGAATCATTGGAACTGATGTTAATGTATAAGTCTCATCCACCCACTTCTCCTCCAGAGTAGTTGCAAGAGTTTGACTAAAATTTGGACTCTGCCTTTATGGAATAATAGAGAAAGAAAGTACATTTTGAAAGAAGGGTTTTGTCAGTGAATGCCTCAGAGAACAAACTGTAACATTCATTCATCCTAGCCTTCCACACCTCTGAATTACTGCCCACGTTTCCAGTGTTTCAGCAGCTGAAATAAGTCTTGTGTTGGCCTCATTGACATCTGTTTTGCTGACTGAAAAACCCATCAGAGCTGTGAAGGCAGGAATAAGAATGGGGATGCAAGTGTTGTGTGCCAGAGGCAGAAAAATTGCTACATCCATAAAAAAATACAACAAACACTGGCCTCAGAAACAGTGATTAGCATGGATTAGGTGGATGCAGCAACTTTTAAATCGAAACGTTTCCTTGAATGTGGGAAATATTAATTTACCTGCTCCCAGGAACCACTACCACGGCATCTGTATTGATTTGAAATTACACTGGAGGGTCGAGTATGTCACTTGCTACTAACCAAAATATCTCACCTCCCAAACAGACATTGGCTTGGTCAGACTGCATGATTAAGTGAAACAAAATTCAGTCTGATGATGAGGCCGAGGTCACACCTTAATAACAGGTATTACTAAATATGATGATCATATTTCAAAGTGAGTTTTCTTTCAGTTGCGATGATCATTTTACAAGAGATGGCAAAATGGGGGATTTGCCCCGTCTGTGAGGTTCACACAGTATTTTGTTGCCTGTCTTTCCAAACAGCTGCAGACTTTGTGCTTCTATTATTCTCTCTTTGATCCAAAACACCCCATCCCCTCCTTCTCTTACCCCATAAACCACTTACCTGTTTAAAAACAGTGGAACCATTTTGCTCCCATCTCCCATATGTCTGAATTTCTGAACATACCGCTCCTTTCCTACACACATACATGCACACACACAATTTTCCTCTCATCTCACTGTCTCTCTCATTTCTCTCCTTGCGTCTCTTTTGTTTCTGTACGTCTCATTACACCCACAGATTCTGTAAGTAAGCGTCTTCTTTCCTAAAGATGAAAATCACTATTGAACCTTGGTCGCATTCCATCAGGCGCCATTGTAACTGAGCGATATATTCACTTCAACTACCCACCAACCTCCAGCAGCACCTCCTCCTCATCCCAACTCCCCCGCCTCGCTCTCTCTCCATGCATTAGGAAGCTGCCGGCGAGATGTGACAGAACGGGCTTTTTGATGTGTTCAATAGGCACAAAGATACTAATTACCCCTGAGAGTTGCACCAGAGTTGTGTTCAGGAGAAATGGCTCCCTTTGTAGCCCTGTGCTGCTGCAGAGAGCAGCTCTGTTGTTTTACACAAACACCCAATTCAGCTAAAGTGTCTCTCTGGCAATCGCACCCGCAACACAAAGCGATGCGTATGTTTGATGTCCCGAGGTCATGTGGATGAAAATGCTGTAGATCTGAGTTTTGCGACAGCGAGGTCTGAACTTCCTCAGGTACGTTTTCTTTGTTCTCACCAGATGAACCAGCAGAGGCAGCAGCACTTGAGAGATAAATGGAATGAAACTGAAGTGTTTGTCCAGTACTCAGTCTGGTCAGGATGAATTTGTTATAATGCTAAAATGTAGCTGGTGTGAGGGATCAAGTGAATCTTTTGTGACCGCGATGATTCATAATGTTTGTGTAGGTGATGAAGGTGCATGTCCTCTTAAATGTTATTATGCCTGTTAGCAGTCTTCCTAAATGTTCTAAGAGTTTTTTAACACTGTAAAATGACTACACCAGTCAAAGGTTTTAGAACATTCCTGTTTTTCCTGTTTTCATCGACATTTAAGCCGTTCAAGTCCAGTGAATAACCTGAAATGGTACACAGCTAAGTAGTAAACTGGCAGAGGTAAAACAAACAAAACACATCACCAAAAACTAAAAATGTGCGTAAATTTAACATAGCACAAACCAGGCCTTTCTCGAGGATGTAGTACCGGGTTAGCTTCTATCTTTTCTACAGCAGTGGAAGTAAATGAGGCCTTGAAAACTGATGCAAACAATCCGTACAGGAGTCCCAACGTTTAGTGACAACTTACAATAACAGATTCTCTCTGTACACAGGCAGAGTTGTAAAACATGTTACCTCACCCTCTGAAGCATCATTTGGTAAAAGGCCATGAACAGAGGAAGTCAGAGCTTCTCAGGGTTTCATTCAATAGCAGGATAATGACACACACACCACCAGGCTGTAGAACAGCAGCACAATTTCCAGACTTTCCAGGTGAAGAGTGAAAACAAAGCAACCTACAAGTGCAGCACATCTGTGGGAACATCTGCAGCTGTGCTGTCTGTCCCAAGTATATTTGATCTCAATTGTAGAAATAATGACATGGATGTGTTCACCTGTGGGATTACGCTGGTAACAGATAGAAAACCTTAGGTGGTCTAAAACATTTGACCAGTAGTGTCTGTGCATTGTCCAATATATAGAGAGATTATAGAGATACAATGCAGCTAACCATGGCCACAACCTCTCCCTAACCATAGTCGAGTAGTTTTAGTTGCTTCAACATATCAAACTGTAACCACAGAGGTGGTATATCAGAAAACGCTCACTGGTAACAGTTATATGAGCCATTTTGTAAAGTGCTTGGTAGACCAATCCTTGATTAGCTGTGTTCCACCCAGTGTTTCTGTAGAGATGTGTGGCTGTAGGCTGAGAAAATTCTAAATAGGAAGAATGAGTAAGAAGCTCTTGAGTCTGATTTGGGGAAATGTTTTAATTCGTACCTGCAGTAATGAGGAATATGGGAGATTCCAGCAGTGGACTGTAGTTAAGTTACATCATCACGTTTTCCATTTTCAACATCCAACTCATCTAACGCAGTGACTCTGGTGTGAATCCTTAAAAAGTGAGAGAAAGGAATTTTACACTCATCAGAAGTAACAAGTCAAATGTACTTTTATGGAGCTATTTTTATTACTGTTTGGCATTAACCCTAACCCCCATTCAGTGGACGGATTATAAGTATAAAATGTACCCTGAACAGAAATGGGCGCCTTTTAATTGCAACAAAGCTGTTTAAATCTCATTAAACCTGTCCAAACGGGCAGGGTTTATTAGAGCCCCCTGTGCTGATGAGGAGTTGATGGCATGTTTAACTTTGTCACATCAAGGGAATAAAAACGACTGAACAGTGGATTGGCAGTCACAGGATGCTCATCATCATGGCAAGTGACAGCGTGTGACTCTTAGCTAATCATGAAAATTGTGAATTCCTCTTTTTCCTCACTGACTTTCCCACTCATGTCACCACTATGACAGAGAGCGAGGTGGAGGATGAGAACAGGGATGTGTGGAACTGTGTTTCAGTACCTTGGACAGCGCCACACATCCTGCAGCTCTGATTGGTCCAGACCATCTCCATCCTCCCACCGCAGAAACATGAGACAGCCAAGTTACATAATGGCACTAACACCTGAAAACCATGTAGCTCCAAAATGTCACCTTCTTAATGGAAAGCAAGCGGGATGTACTGTATGTTCTCCACTGGGGTTTGGAGCCTTTCAGGAGCCCAGAGGTCACTTTGTTTTCTCAGTCCACAGACAAACATTTAAACCTGCTGCAGAAGCTAAAAATGGAAAAAATAAATAAAATTGGCATAATGACCTTTCCACATAACAGTGACAATGGCTGTTTAATGTTTCTTGCCACCCACTAAAACCCCCTATAGTAAAAGTTTTGTTTTTAATCCTCCTTACATCCTTCCTCTATCTTTCACTCAGTTTTCCAGTGTCTTGTTGCTAATTTTGTTTTCTTTTAGTGATTGTCGTGTTTTTCTTTCACCATCTTTCTTCCTACCAGTTCTTCTTCATGGACTCTTTACTGTTTTCTTCTTTCTTTCCTCAGTTATCCACACATTCCTGTTCTGCTATGTTCTTACTTTCTTAGTGGATTATTTCCATGCGTTAATATTTGTATAATCCATATTTTCCTTCACTGTATATCATTGATCTCTTTCTCATTTGTCTTATTTCTTATGTCATTGCATTGTTCTTTCTTCCACTAGATTTTATTGTAGCCCTATTTGCTCTGAATTTTTTTCCACTCCTCTCCCGTCCTCCTTACCTTCTGCGCTGTCAGTTTTCCTTTCCACAGTTTGGAACAGTGCCTATTTATTGATACAGTCAGTTTTACAAAATATTCACACTCATTTCAAATTCAAATATTGATGTTAGAGACCGAGCTGAGAGTTTTATGGCAACGAAATGGGACCCAGATGAAACATTTGGGGGATTTTTTTTCAGAGTGGTGTCACAGCAAGAGATGAGATCCATCACAAAGCCAGATGAACGCAGCGCCGCCATGAAAAAGCAAATATTCATCTCCGTCGTCCACTCAAGTGAAGCCACTGTTGAGCAATTAATAAAAATCACGAGCGTCAAAGAAAGGAGTAACGTGAGTGCTCCGGCTCTCTCCTCCTCGCTAGCCAACCCTCCCACCTCCCCCCAAAAATTAATTGACTCCTAAACCCCAACAGATTCCATGTCATCCACCCACTGATTTTAATTTGAGGAGAAACTGCTTTCACCATCTCATCTAAGTTAATGAATTACTTGGTCCCATGTGACTGTGACTGAGCACCCCTCCACCCCACCCCACACCCTCTCTGCTTGTGTCTTAAGAGGATTAGTAAACTCTCTATATAAAGCACATTATCTTGTCTTTTGTTGTGGGGCAAGTAAATGTTATAGAGGAGCCTCCGCCGACATTACGCATTCTGGGAGTTTGTTGTGGTATGTGTAGCTCGCCGTGAAGCCAGCTGCGATGTGACCTGCAGCATTGACAGGTTGCAGAAAGAACGGGCTTCAGGAAATGGCTGTTAAATCACTCTGATGTGGTCAGCTGAGGAGGAGAAAGCCTTCAGCTGCAGATCAGTTAGTCTCGTCTATCAGGATGATGTCAGCTCCTACTGTACCTAAACACCAGTCTCTGATATGAAGGATGGATGGTGCGCATTGACTGACGATGCCTTGTTTGTTTTAGACTGATACAAAGGGATTTGGGGCTTAAAAGGTATCACATGTTAATTTATTAGACATCAGTTCAGAAAATAGTCAATTACAACCTTAAATCCAACATTATTGATGTCTACATATAGAATATCTCTGAACTCTTGAAGTTTATAATCCTGAAAGAAAGCTAAGATCCAATAATCAGCTACTTCTCAACATTCCCAGATCCAAACTGAAATCCTGCAGTGGCGAGTCCTAATCTCTGGAACCGCATTCCCATGGATGTTCGGTCCTCTCCGGATCTAAGTAGTTTTAGATCTCATCTTAAGACATATTTTTTTGCACAGGCATTTAAATCCAGTCAGAGTTAGGCTGGTGCTGGCATATGTGTATAAGTATTTTGATGATTTTAATGATTTTTTTTATTGTAATATTGTTATTGTTAAGTACTTTGTAACTTGGTGTTTTGAAAAGTGCTATATAAAGAAAATGTTGCTTTGCTCATTTGTTTGAATCTTCTTTAATTTAATTAGGTTAATTTACGCACATAATTGCGAGCAATGCGCTTCACATTGCTGCTTCTTTGAGCTCGCTTATCTCATCATCTGTGTGTCTTTTAAAAGTTCTCATATGTTGGCCAAACCAAACATCACCTCAAGTTCAGAATTAATGACCAAGTATGTTTGAGTATACAGTGAATTTGTGTGTTACAGAGGCTCTTCAATGCAGCTATTTCATTGATGATTTTGGCCACATTAACATTGGTACTCAAATGCAAAAGAGTGACAGGAACATTTAAAAATCCATAAAAGACAGCTGCATATGATGCAAGATTTAAATTGCAGCCCGTTTAAATTCACGATATATAATGTGGATTTGGCAGCACACTTATATATTTTTTTTAAACAATGCTCTTATATGCCGTTTTTTTCTTCGGCGACATGGTTATATTCTAGTTTACCGACAAATTTGAGCTTCTCCTACCACTAAAGTATGTATCCCCACCCCCTGGGCCACAGAGGGAAGCACTGAGCAAACCGCTGCTTGACACACCAAAATGAGGAGAAGAAGATGACAAGCTACCAGGCTGGGGCTGTCTTCCATTGTAGTGCACACTGGCTGATAAAAAAATAAATTAATAACAAAGACTCGACTAGAAGAGTCTTGGTCGACTTGATGGGCCTCACGATTAATAATTCGACTAGTCAACTTTCTCGTGGAAACGTTTTCAGTCAAAGGAACCCTCCCATCAGTATGACATGTCAGCCACCCACGTATTTGTTGTGTTTCCATTTCTCTGCTTGTTTGCACAAAAAAGAGAATCATAAAAAAACACTGCATGAGCAGCAACACACACGTGACTAAGCAGTAAAAGAAAGGGCTAAAATCTTTAAAAGCTCAGAACACAAAGTCAAGTCACAGTGATTTCCTTCAGTCTCCTCCCCGTCCTCTACAGTCTCTGCTGATCCAAAATGGCTGCTGCATTACCTCACTTCATGCAGCCAGCTTTGATGCCGTTGTTTCCCACAGGTGCTTGGATGGTGCATCAGGGCCACAGCAGCAGCTCGGTCAGTCTTATTGCACAGCAGTTTTCACTGGGCGCACCCCCCCACAGTAAGGGGATTATTCAGTGTTTGGCCGACACATGGTGATCTCAGCACCTCCTGATTGGATTGCAGTAATCCCTTTACACAGTCACAAAACCCTATTACTCTGGCATTAGAGAGGGAGAGAGAGGCTAGGGGGTAGAGGGTGGTGGGGGGGCATTAGATGTAGGACAGCGGGTGTGTGAGTGTGTATTCTGTAGGGAATTCTATGAATTTTTTTGTACTGTTTAGTATGTTTTTGGGTTATGTGTGAGTGAGTGTAGATACATTTAGTGCGTGTGTGTGTGTGTGCACGGAACACTGTGACTCCTAGTGTGTGTGTGCACTGTATGGATAGACTATGTTTTTGTGTGTGACCTTATAAAACCTTTATGTGTGGACTGTGAATTAAATGTGTGTATGAGCATTATCTTTATGGTGTTTCTGTGTGTGTGTGTGTGTGTGTGTGTGTGTGTGTGTGTGTGTGTGTGTGTGTGTGTGTCTCTTTAGAAGGATTTAAACCTCCTGATGGTGATAAGCAGCTGTGCACAGGTGGAGCGTCACAGCTTGTGGCTTCCTGTTGCATCATTGCTGCTTTAAGAAGCTTGAAACAAATATAATAGAAAACTGACACTACAACAGTGAATGGCTAAGGGTACTGTATGTGTGTGTGTGTGTGTGTGCCTGGTATTACTCACACTGTGGGTACTCTGGGTTCCTCGTGGGGACCAGAAATTGGTCTCCCCATGTAAATCATTCAATCTCAGGGTGATGACTTGTGAGTGAGGTTGGGTTAAATCTTCAGGAAATAAATATAGGTCACTGTAAAGTCCCACAAGGTATGAAAATGTGTGTGTGTGTGTGTGTGTGTACATGACTTTCTATGGTTGTGTGGACACATTTTAGTTTGAAACTGTTGTGAGGACATTTTGTCACTGTGAGTATTTAGACTTGTTTTGAAGGTTCAGGTTAGAATTAGGTTGTGGGGACATAAAATCTGTTTACACAGTCACTCTGTAAGGGCTCACCTTCCAACAAAACAAAACAAGTCCTCATAACACAATGAATTAAATTCAGAGAGAAGACTTGTTTTAAGTTAAGGCTGGGTTTAGATTAGGGTTGTGGTGAGGCTCCAGGAAATACAGTAAGTTCAAGTCAGTGTAATGTACACCACAGTGTGGCTTGTAAATGCCTACACAACTCTACACAATGTGTGTAGAGTTTGTTGAGTGTACATGTGCATGTATAATAGAATCACCTAAGTGTATCTGATTAGGACACTCTCCCATTATCTTCCGGACGTCTGGTTATGCTGCCTTCCATTTTTAACAAACTCCTCTCATTTTATCAGAAAGTCATTAGGTCTTTTTTGGAAGCTAATTCTGATTAAGATCGGCCCCATTTGTAACTGCCACCATAAATCATCGCTGGAGCCATTTAAAGATCCACACAAGCTCATTTTGTTCCCTCATCCATTACAAACGATGGAGCGGTCCATATTCTGCCTGCATGGGCCACTGATTACTAAGGCTGCTGAAAAACAAAGCTACCTGTCCAGCATCAGATTACGGCTAACCTGTTAGCATCTGTACTAACAACAGACACGGTCCTTGCCATTGTCTTTTGTGCCAGACTCATTTGCCAGTAGTTGATCCAAGTCACATTGCTTTCCTTAATTATAAACACGGTATGATAGGTAATGGCCAAGCTGAAACTGATCGCCATTTAAATAGAGCTGGAGTAGATGAGACTGATACTGTCTCTGATTAAAATGGCTTTGGTGCAACTAATAAACTGAGGAATACATGCATAAAGGAACTCATATCGAGCCCTGTGATTGATTGATTTTCATTGTCACCTCAGTGCAGCACCAGATGGGTGAGATATGCCACATAGAATAACACAATAAGTTTAAAAGCTGATTGACAATCACAGCAAAGAGCTGTACTATTTTTACAGTCAACTTTTATTTGATTGACAAAATAACTGGTATCAGATTTTCCACCTGGTACTGTAGTGAGGTTCAAGCAAACAGCCTTCCAGACAGTTTAGTAAAGTTAAAATCACAAGATAGTACGTGAAATTTAGAGATGACAAATCAGTTAAAAGCCTTTTCCTTAAGAGCTGAGGCCTGCGTATGTCGTGCTTCAGGCAGCTTAACCAAAGATGTTGGTAGTGAAACTGGTACAGAAGCCTCCATCCCAGACATTACCTGATGTAAAAGCCTTTGCTATCTCTCCAGTTCAGTTCTCCTCACCTCCTCCTCTCTCTCTTCTCCTCATCTCCTTCAGTCCTATATGGAGGATCACCTGAAGAACAAGAATCGCCTGGAGAAGGAGTGGGAGGCGCTGTGTTCCTACCAGGCCGAGCCCAACGCCTGCACTATCGGCCTCAAGGATGGCAATGCCAAGAAGAACCGCTCCACTGCAGTGGTGGCATGTAAGCGTAGACCCCTCTCTGTTTAGTTTCTTTTCCTATAGCTCTCTGTTTCTGATTCTATCAGCCTTAGCATTTAGAAAATCAGCTCAATCACATCTTATAAATCTGTTTGAGACCTGTAGATGAGCTTTTGGGGGTTTTCCTTATTATGAAAATGGACATCAGTACAAGAGATTACCATCTGCACCTCGAATTAAAAAGTTCTGGCCTTCAGAACGGACGACTAGTCTCTGTATTTGTTTTGTGGAACCATCATCAGCTTGTCTTTGTGACTCAAACATAAAAGATGTGTTAAGGTTTGCATACAGTACCTAGAACAAATAAAACAAACTTTGTGGGCAGTGGAAAAATGGACCATAGACAGCATTAACATTAGAATATTACATTTTTGAGTGTAACCAGAATCGGACTGTTACACCTCCTGATGTCAGTCCTTCAAACATGGTGGCATCACTCTCGCCACATCCCCGTCTACTCTGAGCCTGGCCTCTATTATCAGAAACCAGGAGCAGATGCAGTGAGCAGAAGGGCTGTAAATTAGTTTTCTATTAAAGCTCTCCTGCACCAGCCTCATCAATGATTAAAATGTCTAAGCTTCTGTGGAAATAGCCCTTCTAAAAAAGTGCTGTCCCATTCTCTCCACCAGGCCAGAGCTTAATGAAATCCAGGTTGTCAGTAGGAAAGCAGTTTGTCAGGAATAAATTGCACTTCCTATTTGAAGCACCACTGCTTTCTCCAAAAAAATCTGAGCTGTTTTGCCACAACCACTGGAGACTTGAGAGTAGTTCTTGCAAGAGTGGAGTCTATAAACTAAAAAAAAAATTGTCCCTAAAACTTTCAGTGGACCAGGGATGATGGAGGGCAGATCTGTTCTCCTTGATATTCAGTGATTGAATCAAATTCCAAAATGTGTCTATGAACAGCAGTGACTACATGCAATAATAAATGATACTGTACTTAAGCTTAGAACTGTTGCTTAGATTGAACTATATTTATCAAACTTTCAGTGTGTTTAAACAGACAAAAATACTTTTCTCTGTACCTTCGCTTCATTTTTCAACCTAACTGGTGAAATGGCTTTAGCCTGACAGATTTGGTATGTTTGAAAACGTCTCCATCTTCATAACACTGGGATTAAATCCTGTCATTAAAGTTCATTAAAGTTTGACCAGACAGCATGAGTATGTAAAGGTGAACCCACCAGTGCTCTCAGAGTTTCATAACTTAACCCTAATAAGTGGGAATTTGTTGGAGGGATCAAATCTCTGAAGACCAAGAGAAAATTCCTCCAACACGTCACCTGATGGTTTTTACCTCTGAAATGAAGCAGTTCTATTCTGAGCTGAACACAAATCTGAAGACAATGAAATCTTTAGGCCATGGAAGCATTCCAGCACACATAACTGCTTGTTGAAATTTATAACCCCAAATCAGAAAACATTTCAGTAATTTTCTCATACATATGTTGTCAAACTGGCGGTCCTCGGCCCATCTATGCTTCTAAATGGATGCCACCTTTGTACCAAATCATGATGCAGTCACCTGTTGACATCACCTGTTTCAAATGGAATCATCATTTCATTGTTTTACCTCATTACTGGTCCTGAAATGCAACGCCCCAGCTTTTTCTGGAATGTGTTGCAGCATCAGAATTGGAGTGTTTGTGTTGAACAAAGAATAAAGTTGATGAGGTGTCACATCAGATAATGTGCTGCTGGATTGTTTTCAATGTCATACAGGACACAGATGATTTACACATCACTGTTTTCAGTTTTAATTTTAATTTTACACATCGTCCCAACGTTTGCTGGGGGTTGCACATCGCGGCCGCTGTGAGAGTGGCCGTGATCTGTGACTCAACAGATCTGAAAAGAAATTTCCCAATTCCAGTGCATGGAACGTGGTCACTGAACACCTGCACTCCAAAGACCAAATGCACTAAGCCCTAAGCCCTTCCATTTGTGTTCCAGATGATCACTCCAGAATCACCTTGAAGATGGAGAACAGCCAAGGCAACACTGATTACATCAACGCCAGCCCGATTGTAAGTACCTCCTCTGCATTCTAACTTTGTGCTTCACGCTGCCAGAATCCCACAGTCCCCGTGGGGCGGCACGAGAACAAAGGCAGCCTACTGTACAATTTAAATTTTGATGCAACACTTGCTTAGCTTCAGTGGCAGCCCCGAGCTACTGTGTATGTTCTGCACCATGAATATTAATGATTGTTATACAGCAAACACCCCTGGCCGGTATTCGCTTGGGGGAGGCGCGGGAAAGGACGTGCACACAGCTCTCGGCTCCCTTCTCATTTTCAAAAACAAAATTGATCTGTGGGGTCTTGGGGAAGGATTGTTTCTAACCTCAGGTTATGCTAGTTTGACACTAGTTTGTGTTTATCATTATGGTGCGCTCAATGTGCTGAGGCCTTTCCTTGCCACAGATTTACCCAGCAAAACAGCCTGTACGAAGGAGAAGGGGGATGAAAGAGCCAAGTGCATTCAGTAAGTGAGTGTATCAATTTGGAAACCAGTGTTGGAATAGTAGGTTTACGTTTCCCTCGAGGCAGATACAGTGGTATTCCATTAAAAGCAACAGAAACACTATGCATTTCAAATCTGGGCGTCACACCAAGAAGTGGCTGAGTGTGTGTGAGAGAGAGAGAGATAGAGGCAGGGGGAAAGAATGAGAAGGAATCAAAACCTATATACGAACAAAAGAGCAACCTTGTCAAATGTCACAAACATGCAAATGCAAAAACAGATGCAACACACGTACCCACGCATGCACAAAGACACACACACACACACACCCTGGAAGGCACACTTTTATGCAAACATGCACAGACATTTCCATATACACACGCATGTAATACACACACAAACATGCATGCTCACCGAGTCACATATGCCGTAGAACATAGGGTGCAGACACCCACACAGACCTGCAGGAGCACACACTCAAACATGAACACACACTTTGTACATGCATACATCTCCCCTCCCACGCACACACACACACACACACACACACACAGTCTGATTTCGCCCTCAGCATCACTTTGACAGCAAAAGCACGAGAAGAGACAAGATATTTGGGCTCTTGTTCCAGTAAACTGTCAATAACTGTAAAAGCTATTAATATATGTTTTAGTTGCCTGGCCAAACAGTTCTGTTGCTTGAAGGTAGGAAGGACCGTTAGAGAGTAGGCAGCTGGTAATTCTCTGCTGTCACACTGGAAAAACTTATTAGTTTAGTTCATAGTATTTAAACCTGACTATTATTTAAATTTCAGGTTTTTTTCAGAACATGGAACGGCTGCTTGAGGCTGACTCCAAAAGGGAGTCGGTGCCCACTGACTCCTGCATTAAAATCCCCAACTTTAGAGCGGAAATAAACACGTTTACAGCCTGGTACAAAGCATGGGTTTGTCTCTGCAGCTAATTTCCCTTTCAATGCCAACTCTACAGGGGGTGAATTTTTTAAAACTCGCTCATTTAAATTATATTGAGACTAAAAATTATGCATTAAGCGCGTGGCCGCTTTGAGTGACAGGTGGGAGGGTCCCGCCAAGGTGGCTGGCCACTAGTTGCCCAGCGAGCTCCACTCACGCTACTCATCTGGGATCTAACTGAGACCAGCAGCTGGAAGCTGGACCGAGCAGCCAGCTGTGCAGGTGTTTTCCATGATGATTGCTTTTAAGATGTGATGTCATTACACTTAAAATGGGGTTGTCTATTGTCTGGCTTCTACACGCTGATCCTCCCTTCATGGTTGGACCTAAAATACCAGCAGTTAAATTACCACCATCTTAGTTTTCCAGGTCACTGGCATGCACAGGCTCCTCCAGCATGACAATTCACCATGGCTTATCAGAGACAGCTGCTGCATTTTGAATTTGAATCTGTGTGCATCTTGCATTACTTTTACTCAGAAACTGAATCTGGTAGGGAGTTTGGTGAAATTTGACAACAATTTCCTCCAATATTCTTTTTTTTTGCCAGTTTAACAACCCAGTGACAACCCAGCATTCCTTCATTTCAGGCTCTGACACAGTCAGTCACCTGAGGGACTGTGGTTCACACCCTCTGATGTTCATTAACCACATAACAAGCTGCTCACAATGAACAAAGTAAAGACATTATCTGTGCAAACTGACAGTTATTATGATTAGATAAAGTATCACCATAAAAATCAATAAGGAAAATAAAAACAACCTGTGTGATGTGGCCCAAAGTCCCACAGCTGCACCAACTTACTCACAAATCCTTTGACATCCTTGTGGTTGTCACCTACAGGGACCATACATAGACTTCCATTCATTTCCAGGAGACTTACCCTAACCTTAAACAAGGCTGACACTTGCTCTAACCTTACATAAAATTTGACAAAATAGTCATGGAGACCAGCCTCCAGTTCTACACACGCACACAGATACACACAATCAAAACCCGGACAAGTAGTTTTCTACATACGCAGCCAAACACATACACACACACACACTTCCTAATCAGTCACTCACGTACCACTCACTCATGCCTACGCACAGTCAGACACACACACACATTCTGGTGAACATCATGTGCTGATAACAGAGTTTAAATCAGCATTGAAGCCAGACTGTTTCTGATTAAGGATTTAAAAATCACACAAAAGACTACAAGTAATTTCATCCCGTGTCCTCAACCTATTAACATCTTAATACATAAACCAGCCTCAGCAACATCAGGATCTAAAGCTGAAACAAATGACAACTTAAAAAACTATGGGATTAGTTCTGCTCATTCAAACATCTTAAAGTGATAAATGTTCACATTCTGTTCCTAGTCGTGTCCTCCTCTCCTCCAGTCCTACACTGTGGTATTGCTACTTTTACTTAAGTAAGGGATGAGAGTGTTTCTTCCACCACTGCCCTCAGAAGGAAAAGTTTCTTCCCATCAGTAGACATGATTTCCTCCACCCTGTCAGTGTCATACACTCGTTCATGTGCCAAACTGACTGACATGCTGAATTCAAGGAGAAGAGAAACTGGTGCATTTGAGCCCACACATTCGAAAGAGAGAGTGAAAGAGATTCGACTTGATTTCCTAATATGTAGATTCACAATGACAACTAATTCATGTACTGTAGCTAGCAGTGCCAGTCTGTCAGCAGTCGCACACACACGGATACAGTACACACCCCCGCTGAGGTGTCAGACTGTAGTAACAGTCGGCTCCATCACGAAACTTCATCAGACAGATCAGACCGAATGATCACTCACACACACACATACACACACACACACAGAGTCTGACTCCTCCCTTCCTCTCAAAAGACACGGCAAACAATAACAGGAATAATTAAGCTTGTAACATCCTCCAATTTTGCTCCTCATTAAGGAGGAGTGTGTGCGAAAGCAAGAGAGAAAGGCAGTTGTCCTTTGTAGCACACACACACACATCTGCACTGTCATTAATGGCGGGGTTTAATTCTGGGGACACTTTGAGATGTCAGGAAGCATTGTCTGTCTGCAGAGATTGAAAAGGAGACGGAGAGGAAAAGAGATAAAAAGAGATGTCAAGTGCCTCCTGCTCTCTTTGTCTTGTAGTGTCTCTGCATTTTCCTCATTCTCTCCTGAAGCTTTTCCCCTTCACCAACTTTCGACTCTACCAGTTCTTTCTTTCTCACCTTTTCTTTATCCACTCTGTTTCTTGCTGTTGTTGATTTGTCCATGCCAATTTCCTTTCTCCATCTCTGTCCTCCCTGGTCTTTCTTTTTCAATTCCCTAGATCTAACACTCTGGAGTGAAGGAACCGGGGACATTTTAAAGCTCTAAGAACTAATATTTTGCAACATTCAGTGTTGTTTTTTTCACATCTGACCTTTGCAAAACTGTAAAAAAATAAAAAAAATAAATAAAATAAAGTGTGTCTCTCCAAAATGTCTCTCACAGGTTTTTCTGGTCTTGGCAGAAAAGAAAAACCTGTACACAAAGAAAAAAGCCTGTATTTGTTTAATATATCCACTACATGGCCAAAGATATGTGGACAGCCACACCAGTCGAGCGTTTCTCTGTTCTTTTTAACCTTTTTTTGCCTTTTCTGTCTCTGAGATGCTACGTGTTAAGTTTATCAGAAGTGCATTATTGTTTGGCATTCATAAAGGGAACAGAGAACCATTAAAGATAATTTTGTGCACGGAAAAGCCCCAGAAATTATCTGTCTTCCCTCAGTAATTGCTTCCAACTAAATTGGCCTTGCCAATTATTACATTTATCGTACAATTTGCATGGTAATAGGCAGGGGTGTCATTCACTTTCTTGTAAATTCGCCTCACGTTTGTCTGCTGTCTTTTGCTCTCAACGCCTCCACCTTCTTTCTGTCATTTCCATTGAGTTAAGGAAGAAGTCGGAGTTACTGAAAACTCCTTCAGCAAAAAAACTTCCAGTTGTTACTTAACCTCTAGAGTCCTGAGCTTTGGAAACCCAAGCTGTGCGGTCCTCATATGAGGACGCAGGGACTCTAGAGGTTAAACAACTGTAAAAGATCTGTGTATATCCAACCAAAAGGACGGATGGAGAGATGTCTTCCTGTCTGTCAGACAGCTCAAAGACTGTAATGTGACATGTCCGGGTAAAACTAAATGTATTCATCCCGCTGTCACTAGTCCTGTAAAATATCCTTGAACAAGGTGTTCTTTTCTTGTCTGCACTCTTAAAACACCTTAAATGCAAAGCAGTTTTTTTACAAGGAGAATAAGACAGAGGAGGAATTGTTTGAGGTCAATTAAGAAATGGAGGTGTTCTGCAAACTCACATGGGTGAATGTCATGAGGTGGCCCAGAAATGTTTGTGCTATCTCACTGTATTCTCGCGGCGCTACAGGTTTGTCTAACATCACCAGTGGATGCTAAGGTGCAGTCGCCTCCTTCACCACTCACAGATTATTTAATTTGTAAACTTTTATTAATGGGGTAGTTATTGATTTTTTGTCCTCTACTTCACATTGTATTTGATGTTTTCCACAAAGATGCTTTCCAAGGACTTATACAGTAGCTGATTAAATCCCCATTACTCAGAAAACCTTCAAAAGCAAAAGCAAGTTGGAGAAACTAAAACTTTTTATTGTCACAGCCGCAGTGTGTGTTCTCACCTTGTACCCTCTTCACTTAAATTAATGTCATGTAATTCAGTTTTAGTTAATTCACTTACCAAGGTTAAAGTAACTTAAACAACACTGTCTGTTGTGGTTATGCTTGAAAGGTTTTGTTCCTCTGATGGTTGATCAACATCTTTTATCCTGTACAGGAATTAAAGTCACTTAAATTCATAACTTAGTCATGTTACATTTAACTCTACCTTGTTTGTTACTGCTGTTGTTTTGTATTGTATTTTCTATGGTGCTATTTTTTACAAACTGTGTCGGAGCTTCTTGATGCCGATTTCAGGGCATTTGCCCGGTAAATTCAGCGGTAAACACCACTAACATAGCATGAAACACTTTGGGGACAATATAGACATGAATTGTTGATATTGTGTCTTGTTTCCTATTCTCTTGCCCATTTGATGGCACATTTATCTACGTATTTTGAATGCACAAATTTATATTTTATATATATATTTTTTTGTTGTTGTCTTACAAAATCCACAGAACCACTGAACTAGAGTCAAATTCCTTTTTGTTTACACATACAGGTACAGTAAAGCTGATTCTGATTCTGAATTGTGCGAAACAGGGTTTAACTGGCATCGTCCTTCTCCTCTCCCCTCAGATGGATCACGATCCCAGGAGCCCCGCCTACATCGCCACTCAAGGCCCCCTGCCCTCCACCGTGGCTGATTTCTGGCAGGTAGAAACACTCACACACATAAATGCACATACACACTCACAGAATAAAAATCAATAGGTTTTCCTCTCTTAAACAAGAGTTAGCCGATTTTTATTAGTAGAGCAGGCCACACGGGAGAGCAGCCTGTTCTGTGGATGTCATTATTAATCTCTCGTTCACCATCATGCTCACCCCCCCACCGCCTCCGCTGTACACGCATAAATATGCACACAGTTGCACAAACACACAGTGTGTATACACTAGTCGACAGAGGGACACACTGTTGATGCAGGGGATAGAAAACACTTTCCCAACTGTCCCAGATGTTGGATTGGGTTTGAATCTGAGACCAGGAGATCAATAAGTTATTCTGGCCAGTCACTGCGCAGTGTTAGTCCCTGTGCAGTGTTGAAACACCACAAAATCCAAACATCTTCTTTGAATTAACAAAACATTGGTGTAAAAATTGGAAGTCGTATTCCTTTCCTTATCACATTTAAGTCAGAGTTCTTCTCTTCTCGCTGAGTATTCATTGCTAATTTCAAATTATAATGCCTTCTACTACTCATTACTGAGTAAAGTAATTTCA